TTTGGCCAAAACCTCTCTTAAAAAAAAAAAAGTCTGTCCTACTCAGGATAAGAGCCACTGTCCTCATTGGACGCAGAGCGCTGAGATAGCGCTGTGCCACTCATCGGAGTCCACCTCTCCCACCTCCCTCCACCCCTCTCCTACCTCCTCCTATAGGCCCCCACCTCCTCTCACCTCTCTTCCCCCTCTTTCCCCCTCCCCCCTCCTCCCCACTTCCCCCACCTCCCCTCCAGCCCTCTCTGGGGCTGTGTGGGAGCAGGTCCATGGCCTCCCTGGTCCTGGTCCTGAGCCCCGTGGCGGTCTGGGCCACGTGTCCGCCCTGACGAACTCTCCCAGGTGCTCCTCTCCCCAGCCTGCAGTGCTCGGCTATATTTAGCCATGGACACTCACGTGAGGGCTGGTGGGAACAGCCCAGGGCAGGCATCCCGAGGCCTCTGTGTGCCCCAGACCAGGCAGGTGCCTGGCGTCCACCCTGCTTCCGAGAGCCAGCAGGGGGTGCGTGGCCAACCCCGGGCTCCCCTCTGTGGGTGGCTGTGGGCAGATACCGTGGCTCTGCGAGCTCTCACAGCCGTGGGCAGAATGAGGCATGGGCAGTCCCCGCCCCTAGGGCCACCTGGGAATTAGAGGACAGGATGTCACGGAGGGGTCTGCATGGTGCAGGGCCCGGTCAGTGCCCGGTCAGTGCCAGTGCGGAGGTCTGGGAGGGCTCGAGGTCCCCCAGGCTGAGCCGGGGACAAGGAATGGTCACCTCCCCTCTGGCTTTGGCCTCTGCTGGGCTGTGGCCAGGGATGCTGACGACGTTGCCAGAGGGGAATGTTCTCTCCCCTGCCTGCCCCAGGAGCTGGGACGCAGCAGAGTGGCCCCGACGTGACAGATGGCTGCCCTCTCAGCCACGCCCACAGTTCCTCACTGGGCCTCACCTCCGCCTGCCCTGGCTCCCCCAGCCCTCAGGAGCCCATGAGGTGGACATGTTGTTCCCACTTAAGAACACTTTTTTTTTTAGATTTTTGCTACACAGCATGTGCGCTAACGAAAGAAGGAAAGAGAGAAATCACCTTCAGGAGGTGACAGCCATGCCACCATCCCTTCTCTATCCTCCTCGAGATTTGGGGCACACACACATGCACCCAGCGTGATTTTCAAGCCACCGGGTCCGGGACTTGAACCGTGGTTGGCCATGTGGGAGCCCAGTGTCTTCACAGCCACGCCACCTGCTGGCCCTGTTGCTCCCATTTTACCAACTCAAGAAACTCAGTCCGCTGAGGCTCCGAAGTCCAGCCACTTGCCCACAAGCGCCCAGTGGAAAGTGCCAGTCCCACGGCCCCTGCCCTGGACCTCATGGCGCGGGTCGAAGTGGCACCGTTGGTGGCCCTTGTTCGGTTTGGTGTGGATTGCAGAGTGGGGCGGCGGGGGCACTGGGGGCTCCCATCCCCCTGACTGGCCCCTCTCCCCTGCCCAGTTCTGTTCCACATGTATGACTCGGACAGCGATGGCCGCATCACGCTGGAAGAATATCGAAATGTAAAGTATGCTCCTCTGCCCCCACCCGGGTCCTGGGGCCGCCCGCCAGCACCTCCGGGGAAGCCCGGGGTCACCCGTCTCCACCCACCCGGCAGGTGGTGGAGGAGCTGCTCTCGGGGAACCCCCACATCGAGAAGGAGTCGGCGCGCTCCATCGCTGACGGGGCCATGAGGGAGGCAGCCAGTGTGTGCGTGGGGCAGATGGTGAGTGCGGGGACCCCCATTGCACCTGCGGGAGGCCTCGGCCTGGCCACGTGTCCTCGCAGCCCTGAGCGGGCCTAGGTGGGAGGGTCAGAGCCATCCATGCCTGTGGGAGAAGAGCAGAGGGAGCTGGGGCCTGGGCCTTGGGGGCCCGGAGACCCCGAGTGTAACCTCACACTCAGGTCCTCATGGGCAGCACGTGGCATGGAACCAGGCCTGGGGGACGGCCCGGGCTCACCTCAGCTCCCTGTCTTACCAGGGACTCCCGTGGCCTCTGCCTTGGGGCTGGGGGGAGCCGCCTGGCCTGGTTCCCAGCCGGGAGCCAAGGCGGAGTGCCCACGCCCGGCATCTCATACATGCTCAGCCTCGCTTTTTCTGCTGGAAAAACTGAGGCTCAGAGTGTGTGGAGAACTTTCCTGGACAGGACAGACTCCTGCTTGCAGGGCCAGGTGCCACCACCAGCCCCTGATAAAGCAGCTTCAGACCCTGGTGGGTTCTGGTTGGCCTCAGCACCCCTGCGCACCTGGCGTGAGACGGAGCCTCAAGGCCTTCATGGCACTGGTTCCTGCAGCCTGGCCTGGAGGGGTGTTCCCGGGTGGGGAGGGGACCGGCTGTTCGTGCCTGAGCCTGTCACCGAGGGACACCAGGCTGGAGACGGCGGCCGGGCCTGCCCCAGGCAGGGGCTGCGGTCTGTCTATCCGTCTGCTCCCACGGCCCCAGAAGGCCCTGCGGTGGAGAAATGGCCCCACTCAGCAGATTAACCACGGGGAAGGAGGCCGACCCTGGCGCTGGGAGAGCAGGAACCCCTGCTGGCTTGTGGAGCCAAACTCCCATTTGATTTAATTACACTCTCCTCCTTCAAATTGCTCCTGTCCCACTCCAGTCTCAATTGGCAACAGTTTTCTTAATTTGCTGAAGTAAAGTCGTTGGCAGCTGGCAGCTGCTGATCTGCATAAAACCCGGGCAGACTTCAGGGTGGAGGCATCTGGGGTAAAGCCGGCTTCCCGGGTGTGCACCCGCGGCTTGCAGCACAGCGAGGGGCGGCAGAGCCAGGAAGGCGGCGATGCAGGGCCCACATCGTTGTTACCCAGATCCCGCGTGCTCTTAGAATGCTTGCTGGTGTAGACGCTGCCCAGATGAACATGCCCGGCTGGCTGCATACGGACCTGGGCTCTGCACACAGCAGGCGTGTCTGTTCGATACCGCATGGCCTCTGAGGACCCCGAGTGTTTCTGATCTCGCTGCCCGCCAGAGATGGACGGCTCCTGCCCTCTTTAAAGCACTTCCAAGGCCAGCCCTGGGCTGTGGCGGCTGCTTCTCAGAGCTCTCTCTGGAGGCCGCTCAGTGGGAGCAGCTGGGGACCTAGGGTGGGGCTGCTTCTCAGGGTTGCAGCCCGGTGCCTCCCCTCCCTTTGCCGACCCTGCCTCCTCCTCCCTTGTCCTGCACCCACCCTCCAGCCCTGGTCTCTGGCCTCCTCTATAATTAGCTCCCTTCAGCCCAGCCTGGGAACCTGGGGTGGCCTGGCAGGGAGGGGGCACCTCTCCGCTCTGTGCCCATGGGAGGGGAGATCAGAGATGAGGGGCCCCCAGGGACAGGAATGGCCCAGCCGGCTGAGAACTGGTCCTTTTTTTAAACTTGACTTATTCCATGAGAGAGATGGACAGACAGGGTCCGCACACCGCGATCGCGTCCAGCCTCCGTGACCCAGCTCAGGCATGCGTGTGACCACTGTGTGTAGGAAGGTCTAGGACACGAACCCAGGACCTTCCCGGGTGGGCCCAAGTAGGGCAGAGTGTTGCCACGCCGGTCCTTCTCCTTAAAGGGAGCCTCCCTCGGAGGGGGTGTTCCGTGTGTGTGCTAAATACACGTTTTTTGGGGGGTTATTTTGTGTAACTTTATTTATTTACTTATCCTAATTTGACTAGCGGTGGACAGAGAGTGAGAAAGCAAGCTGCCAGGTCTGGGTTTTGAACTGCAGTCAGCCATGTGGAAGTCCAGCGCCCTTAACTACCGCACCGCCTATTGGCCCCCAGATGCACATAAGTTTTTAAAATGTGTTTCTTCCAAGAGAGAAAGGAGAGAGAGGCAGTCCCCAGCGGGGTCTCCATGCCGCCATCCACTCCCAGCCCCAGCCCCAGCAGCCTGGCTCATGGCGGCAAACCTCCGTCCTCAGGGTTTCCAACAGGAGCCCAGAACCTCCCGGCTCCCCGGCGCGGCAGCCTCAGCCGCAGGTCGGACCTCTCTGCCACCGTCCGACCCTGCCCTCTCCTCCACAAGACTCCACGCCCGCGTGCAGACACAGTGGAGGGCAGTGACCTGGGCACGTCTGCACTCGCCGGCTCTGCAGGCGCCTTCCTGCCCCTTGGTGGCTTTCTGGTTTGTCATCTGCACCTGGCTCGGAGCCACCTCCACGTTGGCTCCCCCTAGTGGCCGCGCGGAGTCATTAGTGTGGACGGCAGGATTTATCCAGCTGGCCTGGGAGGTGGCAGGGTGGCGAGGCTTTTGCAGAGGCCAGTGAGGTGTTGGAAGACTTGGCTGTGGGACCCCGCGTCGTCCCCAGGGTCCCTAAGCAGACGGATGGGGCTGGCGCAGCCACATGGCACAAAGGAAGAGGCCCCTGGGCAGAGCCTCGGGCTGTTCATTCTCGTGGTGACCTGGCTTGAGGTGGAGGCTGCCCACCCTGGCCCTGCCCGCCCCCACCCCCAGTCTGTGAGGAGCCTGGCCTTGTGCAGTTCTCGTCCCTATGGGACATGCCACCGTAGGACCCCAGGATGGAGCAGGGGTCTCCTGGTGGCCGTGCTGTGGGGAACTGGGCTGAGAGAGAGGAGAGCCCCCCCATGCCTCTGCATCTCCCCTGCCCCCCAGGGGGCTCGAGGGGAGGGAGCGCTGCGGTGAGCCACCCAGCCTCCCTTCCTGGCCCCAGCCCAGCTGGCGGACGAGGACGTGGGACTGCAGTCGCTGGCCTTGTAAGGGAGGCGGACAGTCCCGGGTGACCCCTTGTGGAGGTGCGGGGTGACGGGGAGAGCGGTGCTGCTCCTGGGGGAAGCAGAGGAGGGACCAGGGCTCTCACTGCCTCGTGCTCTGTCCCCAGGAGCCTGACCAGGTGTACGAGGGGATCACCTTCGAGGACTTCCTCAAGGTCAGTGTCTGGGGAGGGGGTGGCCTGGGCGCAGAGGCCTTGGGGGAACTCACAGGACCTGTTGGTCTGGGGATGGGGCCCCTTGTGACCGACATCTCAGAGGGACAGGGTCAATCCTGGGCACAGACTTTGAAGCAACTTACAGCTGATCTGAGCACCGTGGACGGGGAGACCACATACAGCTCATGCCCACTGCCAGCCCCGGGGCCCCTGCTCAGGAGCGACCCACTTCGAAAGTCGGAACAGGGACTCTGGAACCTTCCTTTGCCTGTTGGAGTGCCAGCCTTCGCAGGCCCTGCTTTCCTTGCTGTGTCCTGAGAGCGCTTTTTCAATGGCTGCGCCTTGTCCGGTCTCCCGAGATCGATCCCCCAGCCCCTGCCAGGGGACGTGGAGGCTGGCCCTGGGCCTGTCACCTGCACGCATCCAGGCTGGGGACATGGAGTTTGGGCTGCTCCGTGGTGTGGTGAGGAGGGACCTGGCTGCTCTCTGCCCAGCCCTCTGGCCTGAGCGTCCCAACAGTGGGGTCCCAAGCTTTCCCTGGGGGTTGAGGAAGATGAGATCAGGGGGGGACAGGACCCAGAGGGGCTCCTGGCCCAGCCGGGTTTGGCTGGCACTGAGGGAGACAGAAGTCACCTGCCCACCACCGCTTCCTGATCCCCGAGAGGGGCAGCCCAGCCGGGCACTGTCCACTGAGTCTGCGTCACTGACCCGGCCAGGAGGGAGGACTGGGAGGGGACTGCTGGGGTCAGGGTGCAGCCACTGGCTTCATCCTGGGCGGCCCCACCCCAGGGCCCGGGGGGCGGCAGCAGACAGGGAGAGGCCAGGGCCTATACTTGTGCTGCCAGGTGCCCTGGCCAGTCCCAGGGCTGTCCCCCAAGAAAGTGATGCTCAGGGCGACAGGACTTACAGGATGAGGTGAGGGAGGGTCAGGGAGGAGGGCCGGGGCTCCTAGGGGATGGGGTGGGCGTGTTGCAGCCCGTGCCCCTGAAGCAGGCCTCTGTAAGGCCCCTAGAGCTCCCACATCTGTCCCTGCACCCCGAGGGGGTCTTTCCATCCAGCTGGCCTGCCCTTCCCCTGGTCCCTTGAGTGCCATCGGTGACCATGGCCACCTGGCGTTTAGCAGAAACCAGCCCCAGCGTCTGGTGTCTCCCAGAGAACATCTCGTCCGTCCCACCAGGGTCAGAGCCCTCAGCCGGGACGGCTCCATTTGCGCTGCGTCCCCAGGGCACCCAGGACAGGAAGTACCTGAGGGACTGCAGGTGGCATGACAGTGGCAAGAAGCGCCCCACAGCCCCCTGACTGCCAGAGCGCCCACAGGGTTCTGACGGTCCCTGTTCCCAGCCTCGAGGCTGTCGCTGGAGACGCCGAGAGTGACAGCTTGAGAGTGAAGTTCTTACATAACGGAGCTGTGCAAAGTCACCCACCCACCACGGCCCTCCGTGCCGCTCGCCTACCCCCTCTCCATCTGTGGCCCCCACGGGGCCCTAAGTTGCCAAGGAGCTGGCGAGAGAGGGTGTGGGAGAGCAGGGGTGGAGTGTGGGTGCACAGCCTTGTCCCAGAGGCCCCCTGGGGCCTGGCCAGGCTGGACCGTAGCAGCGAGGTCAGCACCAGGTACACGGCCGGCACTGTGAGGACCTTCCCTGGGCTTTAATTCCGCCTATGGGACGGGTCACCCCTTATCCCCGGGTCTTATAAACAAACTGCCCTGTCCTCTCCATTAACGATGATGGTCTGACTCCTGTGGTGGCACCGCCCCGAGCGGTCTTCCGAAGGCTCTGGGACAGGGCGGTCCCGCCTGGGCACTGAGCAGGGCGCGGTGGGCACGCACAGGTGCGGAGAGGGGGTCACGGGGTTCTGTAACGGGCATGGCAACCACAGCGCCCGCAGTGGTGGGTGGGACTCATGACTTGGAGCTCAGAGCTCGGATTCGGTACTTAATAATAACTTGCTGTGACAGTCTCAGAAAGACTCCAAATGTCAGAGCCAAATTAGCCGGAGACAGATGGAGGCCCTTCCTCGCCTCGCTCTCCGTCTTGGAGCACGGCTCTGGTTCTCACCTGCCTGGAACATCACAGTGGGAGGCGGAGGAGGGTGGGAGGGCGAGTGGGAGGTGGTTGAGGCCCAGGGTGGGCAGGCACGAGATGGCGGCGGGGACGCTGGTCACACAGAGTGCTCGTCCCTTCCAGATCTGGCAGGGGATTGACATCGAGACCAAGATGCACGTCCGCTTCCTAAACATGGAAACCATCGCCCTCTGCCACTGACCTGCCCGTCCCTGCGCCGAGAAGCCGCACTTTGCCGCGGGGTGGCTTCCTGCGTAGCCGGGGGTGGCCGGGGCCACGGTCTCCTGCCACGGCCCCTGCACGTAACCAACAGCTGCCGCTCACCTCCTGTCCTGTAGGGTACGGTACGTGGGACTTCGCTGTTTTTATCTCTAATAAAATTTTAAAAAAAGGGTTATTAATGAACGTGGCTCTGTTCGTTGCTCACGTCCACGGAAGTGGCCGGGCTGGCCTGGGGCGCAGGCAGTGGCTAGCCGACTTCAAGAGGCGCCTTGGGAACAGGGAGGTTCTTTTTCCCTTTTTGTTTATTTCGGGTCAAGTGTCTGCTCTTTCCCCGACTCAAGTACCACCTGCTCCGCCCTAGGCAGCGCTGTCAGGACAAGCGGGGCCTTCCGAGGGGCAGGGATGCGGGGGACGGTGGGCTTCCTCAGCGTCATGACCATGTGCCTAGACTGCCGGCTTCCATAGCGGGATGCACCGAGCTCACAGCCGGGATGAGGGCTCTGGGACCCCAGCTCCCACGGTGGGGTGCACCGAGCTCGCTGCTGGGATGGGGGCTCTGGGCCTCAGCTCCCACTGCAGGTCCTGCCAGTGACCAGCAGCGTTGGAGCCCAGGTAAGCATTTCTGACCTCTCTGGTTGTCACCTATGGATTTGGGGACGTGTGTGGGGCAGGTGGCAGGGAAGCAAGGTGGGCATCTGGGTCACTGGTGTTCGAGTCCACGGAACTGGGCAGCCGGAGCAGGCGGTGCTCAGGTGCACACATTGCATTTGACTTCCAAGGCAAGATTAGAACTGTGGTTGGCTATGTGGAAGTCCCGTACCTTAAATACTATGCCACCTGCTGGCCCTGCGTTTTTGAGTTAAGAGAATCTCAACTTACGATGGGGTTATTGGCTCGTTGCCCCATCAACATAGAGGAATGTCTGTAGCTAGGTTTGAGAAGCCAACCAGAGCCGCTCTGCGAATTAGAGGCATGACCGCGTACACCAGGCAGGGGCGGCGTGGCTGGCATACTGTGGCCCCAGGCGCTGCTCCTTGGGTGAACAGGGATGGCCCCTGAGGCCGAAGAGTCTTGTGGGTGTTGTTAGTAAGCACCAGGCAACTGGGCCGGGCCTCTGAGAGCTGGGTCTGCTGCACGCCAGGCAGCAGCATGTGCCCCTGCCCTCGTGCAGCGGGGACCCCTTTGGTAGCAGGCTGGAGTTAGGAGTGGCAAGGCTCCGTCTCTGAGGAAGCGAGGAGAAGGCTCGCGGAGGCTTCTAAGTAGCAGGCCAGGCCACGGCC